TGTGCCACCATCTCTGCCTGGTGGCCCTCAGCAGCCGGTGCAAGATGCTTCTGGAAAGCTCCAATGTGTCCCCCTCTGGTGCTGCTGTGGCTCTGGGCAGCAGGATACAACAGGCACTGCTCACAGTGTGCTCCCAGGCTCCAGGATCCAGCAGGATCACCCCTCTGGGTGTAAATATCTCAGTGGCAGGCTCAACCTTTTGGCATGAGGAAAAGGAAGATAAATGCTACCAGGCCCCTCGGAGCCACAGGAACCCTGCATCTAATTGCACTTCATAATGGATTCAGCAAGCCATTAATTATCAGATTATATTTTAGGAAGCTGCAGATAAAAAAGCTTTATGAAATTTAGTCTCAAAGGAACTGGTGTGCACAATGAAGCTGTTGCATTATGCCAGCACCAGAGAAGCAAACTTTACAGCAGGTACTGAATGCATTTTACAAGGCAGTGCCCCATGTGCCAGGGGAAGGTCCATGTGCAGTCACAGCAGCTATCCCACACTCCAACACCTTCATTAGTGCCATCCCACAAGGGACACTGGCACACAGGCACAGCTCCTTCCCTTTTTTCACAATGTCCCTGGTGAATTAGAGGCAGATCTCAGGGCTGTTTGCTCACAGAAAGGATGGATATGCCCAGACATGCCTGGGAGCCTCCTTCCTAATAGACCACAGCAAGAACATGGATGGGATTAGACCTGTGTGGCACAAGGTGCCATCCAAACAGTGCTGAAGTAATTTAGCTCAACTCCCAGGAAGTCTCTACTGGAGAATAGAGGCTCAAAGGTCAGCTCTTCAGCTCTGTGCTCTGTTTTCTCTAGAGAAGTTCTCCAGCTGCACAGCAATACAGGTGAGAGAAGAAGGAACAAAGCAGCCCTTACACCTCGCAGAAGATACCTGTGAGCACATCACTGATTCAGCCATAAAAATCTCCAACCTAAATTCTCAGGACAGTTTTTTTTTTGTTTCCCTTATCCATAAGCCCCAGCTTTGTCCTGTACCAGTCCTCTGCTCTCTGTTCACAGCAGTGAAGCATCACACTTGATTCCCATCTTTTCCTCTGCTGCCTTATTTCTCATGTGTTGGAGGAGACAAGTGTTCTACCAGCGGCTGACTGCAGGGACACTTCTCAGGCAGTAAATGTCTATGAACCTCCCCTGTCCATGGTTATGCTGTGCTTGCTGCATGCCTGGGATTGTTTTCCCAAAGAAGCCCCAAATCTCCCAGGTGAAGCAGCACAGTGAGCTCCTGAACAAGCCTAGTGGATACCAGATGCCAGGCACAGGCAACCTCCTGTGTCCCTCACTTGATTTCTTCACACATCAGAGTGACTGTTATCAAACAAATTCTCCACAGTCACCACCTCAGAGCCAGTTTGTCTCACTTGGGATTTGGGCAACGTCACAAGTTTGGCATCATCGAAAGAGTTTATGTGCTCTGCTGCTCCTTGCTCTGATGTCTGAGTCACCTGTGTGGAAGGAAGATGACCCAAGAGTCAGACATGTACAGCACCACTTTCCCCTGGACCCCTTTGCTGCTCACACCTTTCCCAGCCTCAGCTCAGGTAATAACATTTAGCTTCACACTACAGCCTCTGCAATTACAACAGGCATGAGACTAATAGGGAACATCAAACTACACACACCAATGATGCAAAAGAAGACAGGAGAGTAATTTAAATATTTCTCTCCACAAATTGCTATAATTTAGCTCCACAAGCAGTCGTAGACAGTAAACATTCTGTGATTATCCACTGGAGGAATGCCATCCCACAGAATCTTGCACACTGGACTCGCTCATCCAAGGAACTCTTCTTGACTGATGGATGAGATATTGAAGAGGATGAGGATGGGTTCAAACCTAGCACTGGGCCTCCAACAAAACAGCTGCAGTGTCACAGGGTATCATCAAGGTGTTAATAACCTGTGAGTAACCAGGCACTTCCACACACACTGCCAATCCTCCTCCTCAGCTCCTTAAAGTCATGACTGAGCAGCTTTCCCTCCAGCAAACCTGCTTCATGCCAGCACAGAAATCCCAGAGTACTGTGGGCTGGGGTTTGCATCATAGACCCCTCCAAGAATGGGAAACCATGGAACAGAAGGGGCAAGAGGGCCCACAGAGTGGATTTGGGAAGAATAAAAGCATAGGAGAGAAGGACGGGTGAACAATGTGACACAGAACGGTTCTTATATGCACAGTCTGGGCAGTGGTGGCTTGGAGGAGGTCACCTTGGGATGCTCAGTGCTGAGGTGCCCTCCAGCTTGCCCTGGGAGGGGAAGAGCTCACCCATGAAGGTGCTACCTTCTGTGTGAAGTGCTGGCTGGTGACGTGGCTCTGCAGGGCCCCAGGGAGCGGAAGGCCATGAAGCAGCACAAGCAGCACAACGGTTGGGAAGCTGTGGGAGAAGCACTGTCCGAGTCTGGCCTGGGACAACCAGAGCCAGCCTGAGAGCACAGGGAGCTGCAATGGGCAGGGCACACAGGGCTGAAACCCAGGAGGAACTGGGTTTCAGTGTCCCTCCTCCTGGCTGCACCACGGGCCGCCAGTTTGCAGCTGCTTGGGTTCATTGTGGCTCCCTGCAGCACCTGCATTAAGCTCAGCTGGTTTACCTGCAACTGTAGCTGACCCTGCTCACAGGAATCCCTTCTTCCTGTTCCCTTATACCATCCACCACTGTTCCTTGCTGGCCTAGCTTGCATCTCCTAATCCAGCTATTCCAAAATCATTACCCAACTCAACAGTTCTCCACTTTCAGAGAGAGCTTTTTCTAGGTCTTCTTCCTCACTCTCTAGGCTGCTGTTGGCTGTCTCCTCCAATGTTTCCTGATTTATATTCTCTCCTGCTATCCCATACTCTGCTGTGGGGACCCACCATTTGTCGTAGCCTGGTCTGCCACTTCCCTCTGCCCTTACAGCTTGCAAACTTGCCAAAGCATGGAACTGGATGATTTTTGAAGCCCCTTCACACCCAAACCATTCTACAATTCTATGATTCAAAGGGTCCTTGACATGGTGTCCCCAAGCCCAGGTTTGTCGCTCATCTTTCTAGTGCTACACTCACTTTTTCTTCAGTCTCCCACTAGCTGTGTAGACAAACCCAGAGCTTGGGGTTCCATCCATCATCTCCTCATGCTGTTGTGTCCTCACCTACAATTAGCTCTCTTCTCTACTGTAACAATCAAATCCATAACTTTCCATGATTCCAGTAGGTCCAAAAGCTTAACATGTCCCAGCCTCACCCAGTGTTTTTCCATTTCATCCTTACTTTCTGTTTCTTCACACTTTTTCCTTACCATGTCCCTCTTCACCCTCCTGTTTACATTTCAGACATCACCAAGAGGAACCATCACTGTTCAACAGGTAACCTGAACAGCAGCAAAGGTGACAGACCTGAGTGACTGCATTTCACTGAACCTGCAGGAGAGCCAGCACGGGTAACAGCTCCATGCATGACTCAAATTCATGTTTTCACATCTGCAAACAAAGCCAAGAATACAAAAACATGCTCTCAGGGTCTTTTATAAGAGACCTTCTAGACCACAGCTCTCCAGTATTTCATCACCACCACACCTGCACACAGGCATGAGGAGCATCCTCAGAGGAGCAGCCAGGAGAAAGCAAGCTGCAAGATGCTGAGATGCTGAGATGAGATGCTGAGCAAGATGCAAGAGCCAGAAGAGACTACTACAGTTCACAAGAATCTACTGTGACTTTCAGGAAAACAGGATGTGCAGCCTTGTGCTATCAGAGTTATAACTGCATCAGTCTCCTCTCCCACATAACAAGTGATGGGACAAGAGGAAATAGTCACAACTAGCACCAGGGGAGAATTAGACTCTGTGCTCTTCCACATTTTCATAAATGACTTGGACACAGGACTGGAAGGAATATGAGGCAAGTTCACAGAGGATACGAAACTGGGAAGAGCTGTTGCCTCCCCCAAAGGCAGAGAGGCCCTGCAGAGAGACCTCAACAAAATAGAGAACTGAGCCATCACCAACCGTGTGAAGTTCAACAAGAGAAAGTGCCAGATTCTTTACTGGGGATGGGGCAGCCCTGGGTGTGTGGGTGGAGCAGGCAACAAGAGGCTGCAGAGCAGCTGCAGGAAGGGACCTGGGGTCCTGGTCAGTGGATCTGAGTCAGCAGTGCCCTGGCAGCCAGGAGGGCCACCCGTGTCCTGGGGGACATCAGGGAGAGCATGGCCAGCCAGGCAAGGGAGGGATTGTCCTGCTGTGCTCTGCACTGGGGCAGCCTCACCTCGAGTGCTGGAGCAGATTTGGGCACCACTAAGTAAGAAAGATAACTATTAGAGTGTGTCCAAAGGAGTGCCATTGTGGAGGGCCTTGAGCAGAAGCTGTGTAAGGAGCTCCTGAGGGCACTTTGTTCAGCCTGGAGGAGACTGAGGTCTCAGACCTCATCACATCTACCACTTCCTCATGAATGGAAGAGGAGGGGCAGATACTGATCTCTTCTCTGTGGTGACCAGTGACAGGACTTGAGGGAGTGGCCTGAAGCTGTGCCAGGGGAGATTTAGGTTGGACCTGACTATCAGGAAATAGTCTTTTCACCCAGAAAGTAGTCGGGCACTGGAACAGGCTCCCCAAAGAAGTGGTTCCAGCACCAAACCTGGCAGTGATCAAAAAGAATTTGGAAAATACCCTTGGACACTCTTGGAGATGGTGCTGTGCAGGGCTAGGAAACTGGACTCAATGATCCTTGTGGGTCCCTTCCAACTCAGCATATTCTGTGATCAGGGAAAATTTCTTCATGAAAAGCATGGTCTGGCATTGGAACAAACTGCCCAGGGCAATGGTGGAGTCACCATCCCTGGAAGCATTCAAAAAAGTGTGGATGTGGCACCTGGGGACAGGGTTTGCTAGCGACCATGGCAGTGTTGGGTTAATGATTGGACTAGATCCTGGAGAGCTTTTTCAACCTAAATGATTCTGTGATTCTCTCTCTCCAAGCAGTCACTATATCACTTACAATGGGTTCTTACCTGTGTGCTCTGCCTTGATGTGCTTTTGGTGAGCAGCAGTGCTGGTGAAGGTTTTGTCACAGCAGCTGCACCGCAGGGAGGAGAACTCGGAGGAGCAGTGATTCTGACCTGCAAAGACATCAGAGTGGTGGGTCCTGTTGTGATAACATAGTCCTGACAACTGCTGCAACGACAAGGATCAAATCATGGTTACCACCCAAAGCTGTTGGCTTTAAACCGAAAGAAAGCAGGTTTAGATGGAATATTGGGAAGGAATTCTTCCCTGGGATGGTGGTGAGGCCCTGGCACAGGGTGCCCAGAGAACCTGTGACTGCCCCGCCCCTGGAAGTGTCCAATACCAGGCTGGATGGGGCTTGGAGCAACCTGGGCTAGTGGATAGTGTCCCTGTCCATGGCAGGGCGTGGAACAAGACGAGCTTTAAGGTCCTTTCCAACCCAACCCCTCTGACATTCTATGATTCTGTTGCAGGGACAGAATGACAGCCAGAAGCCATGTAGAAAGCAACAGAACAGGGGAGTTGAGCTCAGCAGGTACAAGACTGGCTTGTCCTCCCACTGGACAAGCACTAACACCTCACTCTGTTTCTCCATTGTCCCTGATAAGCTGAATACAGCTGAATCCCTGATCCTTGTCTTATTCACTGCAGATCTCTTTTGGTGTGAATTCTTGTTCCCTTGCAGCAATGTGGAGGTCTGCCACAACATTGTGAGTTGCCCCAGGAAGGGCAAAGAGATTTGGTTCCTCACACACATCCTGCTAAAGCAGCCAGGAACTAGAACAGCTTGGTTATTTTTGGAGACTTTCAAATTTGCCAGTAGCCCTACTTTTCCTTGATGAGCTATGTGGAAAACCAATTAGGGAAGAACTAATCAGAAAGTGGTTGTGCTCAGTGGGGCAGGAAAAATGAGCTGAGCTGTGTTTCTCACATATGGAGCACATGTTTCTCACACGTTTCTCTCACTAAGAGCTGAAGGGAAGAAGAGGACAAGATTTCAGACTATTACTTTACTATATTGTCCAAACTTGCATCTAAACACCCATGCTCCCAGCAACCCTATCTGAGGCATGAGCAAACTCTCTTCCAGATGTCACATGCCATGGGGAGCCTCTTCCTCTTCTTTTTCTTCTTGGCCATCCCCACCATCCTGTAGACCTCCAGATGATGCTTCTCCAGCTCATTCTTTGTCGACTTGACCTCGCCACACTCTTTATGCTGGATCTGCTTTTCTCTGGCGACCTGACAGCATTTCATGTGCACCTTCAGGTGGCAGTAGAAGTGAAAGACCCTATCGCAGGCTTTGCAACAGGCTTTGCAGACCAAACTCTTCTTGGAAGAAGCTTTGTCTTGGGATTCCTTTGCTTCTCTGGCACTGGCACCTCCTGCCTTGTCCTTATCTTTGTCCAGAACTTCAAATTGGGATTCACTGTTCACCTTCCACCTCCTGATCCCAGGTTTCTGCCCTCTTCCCTCAATCAAGAGACCTATGCAATTACTGTTTTGGTGGTGACCAGTAGGACTATCTGCCCCTCAGTCTCCCATCTCAGGAATGCTCCTACATAGTTTTCCCTGCTCAGATGCAGCAGACACACATCAGACATGCTGTCCCATCACAATGGTGACACACAGCTCTGCCCATCAGTGGTTCTGGCCATGCATGGTTAGAAACATAAAGACTGATCCTTGAATTTTTCCACCACACATGCAAGGGTCTGCATGAGATGCCAAGAACCAGGGCCAGATTCTCCTAAAAGCTTATTTCTCAAACTCTTGCTTCCAAGCATTTGCATCCTGCTCAGACACATGAAGTTACAGCCATGTTTGCAGACCTGAACCTCAGGTATGATACTATCAAAATCTGCCACTAAGAGTGGATATCCAGCCCTTAATTACAAGAAATCTCAAAAACACTTCACAAACACAACCCCTTTGAAAAGGAACAGATAATCTTGCTACAACCCTTTTGAGTCCTCTGCTCAGGGCCCTGAGGTATTTTAAACCACTCATTATGTTAATTTCTTAGAAAGCACAAATGCCTTCCCAAGTCCCTCTAACACAATCACCTCAAAAACCACAAGCTGGAAAATTCACCCAGGATCTCAATCTACAAAAAGACCCACAGGAAATCTATGTATGGGAGAAATCAAAATACAAACAGAAACATTTGTCTTCTTTACTATACTGAGAACCCAGAACTGTGTCACCGTGGAAACTGGCACAGACTTCTCCTTTTGCCACTGTACAGGAAAACTCATCCTGTGCTTGAAAAACTTCATCTTTGCCTTCCTCACCGTGGGAACAGCTCAGCACAGTGTCCCCTGGCACAGCACCATTGCCCCAGATTTCCAACCAACTAAAGACCAGACGACGTATATCAATGGACCTGGAAATCTTAAGACACAAGTGGCGATCCATAATCTGCAAACACATCAAGGGAGAACAGCAGACTGGAAAACTGGTTTCCAGTCTGTCCTGTTCTATCAAAGTCACTTTGACTCGTGACCTCTAAGATTTCTTTCCACATCCCTTCAACCAATCCTGTCAGTCTTTCTGACCTAAGTGAAGAATGATTTTTCAATCTACCAGTGAGATGGCAAATGTCTTTTTATTTAAACAAGACCATGTAGAGCAAAAGCCTTTTTTATAGAGCTCTTGACACATTTCTGATATTCGAGAGTAAGACCAGTCTTGACAAATATGATCTCCTAAATGACTGTAGAGAGCCCTGGAAAGCAGAAGGCTAGGGAGGAGGTTATGGAGCTGGCTTAAAGAGCCAAACCCTGCCCTTGCATGCACCAGCTGCCAAGAATGGCAGTGCTCTGACTACAGCAGGGTTCAAAGGAGAAGCCAAGAGATTCCATGTTGTACCTCCACCAAAGAAAGCAATCCATTACTTGCAGTGCTGAGCATGGCTGGAGATGGATGCAGTTTCTTCCACAGGGATGCTCTGTGCCTTCCAAGTGCTTTGGTTCACCTAACTTAATTACTAGAATTTTTTGAGGTTTTTTTGCAGTAGAGATGCAAAAACTGTTGTTTTCCTGTGGATGTGCAAACAGAATGGATCTCCATGCAGCACATAGATCCCCAGAAATGTAAGGTCTCCTCAGTTTTATAATAGGAAGCTCACACCTCCCTGACATGAGGCCTGCAGTTATCACTCATATCTCATGCCAAAAGCTACAAGGTCCATAAAGTCACTTGCAATATGTGGGCCTGGTAAGCAGTGATGTCAGAGCTGAGTAGACTGGCCTGGCCTCAAAATTAAGATACGGAAATTCATTGCAAAGATCTGTAGGATGCCAGAAAGAAGCTGGTATCTGACAATCCTCCTCTGGACACTTCATCTAGAATAGATGTTTTTGCCAAGTAAATAACATTTTCCATGGCTTTTGTTTTTGATGATGCTTCTTGCTTGATTTCATCTCAATCTTGGCTTGAAGCCCTGAGAAGCCACTCAGTGGCAGCAGTCTGCTCTCTTTGATATTGCTGCCAGAGAGGCAGCAGCTGCCAGAGCAGCCACACTGACTCCCCAGGCCCCTCTGCTACACAAGCCGAGGTGTCCAGGAGTTCACTCAGGCTGCACATTCACAGACACAGGAATTGTTGGCTCATCTGCTCCAGAGTAATCAGGGCATCAGCCCTGATCCATCCCACGGACACACAGAGTCAGGGGCAGTGGGACAAGTGCCTGCAGCATCAGAAGGTGACAAAATCAATGGCAGATAAGAAAGAATCACCCTTTCTCTAGAAATCAAAGCCATGACCAGGTGAAAATGCCAGCTGGATTGGTGGCAGCTCTTGCTACAGCTATAAGAGATAATGTAGATCTGAACTGGGAATTAATATTGGATTTGCAGCATAGGACCTCTCTCGGGAGACCACTGAGGCAAGGAATGGGAGTGGAGCATGTGCTGTCATCCTCCAAGCCCTACAACTACATCAGTCATCATGTGTTGAACATAGATAAAACCTTATAAAACAAGGGCTTTGTTACCCTTGTAGAATCATGGCTCAGGCCTGCTACTTTGGCTAAGCAGAAGGGGGCTGTGGGAAAGTGACTCAGCTGAATTGGAGGTAGAAAAACAAGCATATAACCATTAAGTGCTCACATTGTGGTTTATGGTGGTTGGTTGAATTATATTTGTTATACTTCAATGGAATGTAACTGATAATGTCCTAACTGCTTAAAAAGGCCTGATTTTTGCAATGAAGCAGCTCTCCTTTACACCTGCCTGGGGACTGTGCACCATGCTGCTTGTATAATCGAGATCCTTGGTTTCTTCTACCTGTGCCCTGCTCCCAGTCACCCACTCCCACCTTCCACCCCAGCAGCATTTCCTCACTGCTCAAGACCATAGGCAGGCCAATAAGCCCAGGGTTCAGAGGCTGACCTGCCCCCAGCACATGGGGGACAGGCTTTGCCTGTCCCTGCCACACACAAAACGATGGCAAGTGTCAAAGCCATGAGGCTTGTGTTCATTCATAAAGACCGACAGCCTTGACCCAAATTTGCATATGAAGTAATCAAACCTTCTATCCCTAAAAAACCCGACATATTAACAGCAAACTGCTGTTCCTGTAACTCCCCAGCAATCTGCTTGTCAGCTAAGCAGCACTGGCATCGTAAGAAAATAGGAATGGATTGAGCCTGTACTTGGCTAAAAACCACACTCAGCACATCCCAGAGGACTCTGCAGTCCAAATAATCTCAATATGCTGGGAAACAGATGAAAATATATGTAAGCAAACAGAAAAAGCAAGTCACATTTGCATCCCTCCCAGGAGAATTCACACCTGCAATTACCTTCATGACCCTCTGGTATCCTTGTCATTAAAGCACCAAATTCAGTTAAGCATTTTCTTTCAAATGATGGATGCAAAGTTACAATTGGGTTCAGCTGGAAAGCCTCAAACAGCTCAGGGTAGGACTCAAATGTGGTTATTGCTCTGCATTTGTTCTGGAGTTAACAAATTGCTATCTGCATGTGTATTGTCCACAACTTTGCCTAACTAGTACATCAGGTAACATTGTCCTACTGCTGTCACACCCTCATAGGGAGGCATTTATCTGTAAAGTGCATACAAAGCAAGACTAAATTAGAACATTCTAAGAAAATTAACTCAGAAAATAGTCTGGGACTACAAACTGCATTGTTATGGTCAGCTTTGCACTAGACGAGTGTGCTCTGTCATGACCTTTCCTCCACGTATCTAATCTGAATCTGCCTTCTGTCAGCTTAAGGCCATTTGGCCTGGTCTTGTCACTGCTTGCCCCTACAAAAAGTCCCTCTCCGGCCTTCCCGTAGGCCCTCATTTTTATAAAACACCCAATAAGATATCCGGCACACTCTCACTTCAGCAAAGGGGCACTTCCAACTTTGGATGGCTTCCCAACTTAGGCAATGACCCTTGATCTCAGGGCACATTGGGACCTGCCCACCCTTTGAGCCTCAAATCATGCCTGCTATGAGAACATCCCATCATACCTCTTTCACTGCTTCCCTGAGCCCTGCCTACCCCAAAGCCAAGCCCTTCAGGTCTTCTCTTTGCTGGATGGCTTGGAGATCAGCTTGCCATGCCGCAGGATCTCAAGGCTGTGTTCTCACTGATAGCCACTGAAGGTGAAAATAAAAAACAAAGGTATTAAGAATACAAACAAGAAGAACCTGAAGCTGAGCTGTTAACAGAAGTGACTTCTTCATGGCACAGAAAACACCAAACTACCACATTCAAGCTCTGGTTGTACTAATCGCAGCACTGACATCCAGCATGAGGTCCTTGCAGACCTCCCTTCTCACTGCTTGTCCAACTTTGGGCAAGAAGATCAGGTTTTCTAAGGTATGTTGCTGAAAGAGACAGTGACAACTTCAAAAGGCAAGGCATGGTTCTCCCAAGAGTCAGGATTTCTCCTCTCCCTAGTTACAGAGATTCCAGCTTCTGAAAGGAACAGGCATTCCTAGGCACAATTTGCCTCATCTCAGGACAGCCCCATGAAAATTGGCTGGATGCACCAGGGATCAGAGGCGCTGGTTTTGCCAGTCAGAACACAGAGGGGATGGGGGAGATCAGATGGAGGCACCTGGCTGCAGGTGAACCCCAGCTCTGTGCCCACAGGGCCAGCACACAAAGTCAGGCACCACAAAGCTGACTACTCCTCACACTTGTGTAAGAGTTTGACAACAATTGTGTTTAAAGTTTGGCACGGTTTAGGTTTTAAAGCAGGAAAACTGAAAGCCAAGGCTATGGGGATGACAGGATGGTGGCTGCACAGAGACCTCTGATGAGCCCTCGGCTCTCAGACTGATGTGCCTCCAGCTGACTGTTACCACAGGATGGTGGCCAGCTCTCAAAGGTTTGCTCATTATAAAACCTGCATGCACAGAGGCACAAGCAAAGCAGCTGTGTTTCCCGAAGTGCTTTTCCAGCTATAACTGTTTCACCAGGGACATGGGTGTTGAGAGCCACTGGAAGAAAAGAGGTTACTGGCCAGGGAGGGATGAGGAGTTAGAAAGCAGCTGCTGCCAGCAGCAGGAGAAACTCAGGGAAAGAGTAGGAGGACACTTGTGAGGAAGAAAAATTCTGAGCTGGGTTGTTTCTAGATATCCTTGATGAACAGTTTTGGGGATGCAGATTCCTGCACAGTCATCAGCAGCTGCCAAACGGCAGAGACAGACAAGGACTGCTGCTCCAGCACTGCCAACACAAGGCAGGTGAAACTACTGCCTCCTACTCACAACCTGCTCCATCACCTCGGAGAGACCCTTAGGGAGGCACTAACAGGTACCCCTTCCACCTGCCTCCTGCATCACACAGACACAGAATCCCCTAGAAGTATAGAATATTCTGACTTGAAAGGAACAAGGGCATGACTGAGGCTCACCCAGACCCAGCCTGTCCTTGGTCCTACCTGCTGCAGACTTGGCTCACAGTGCAGCTGAAGTGGGGACCACTTAGAACCTAAACACATCAGCCATTCCCTCCGCTTGCTGTGAACAAGCATCTCTCCTCAGAGCTCAAATCAGCCACTCTTAGTTGCTAATCTTCAGCTTCATATACATTAGCCTGCCCCACTCCCACTACAGAATACTAAGGAATCATTAAACCAAGTCCTACTGGAAGACTGTCTGAAACCCAGAATGGCAGGTAGTAAATCAAGTCCTTAGGAATTCCAGTATTTCCCCCCAGATGGGGATGAAAACTCTGTATCTGCTTGCACAGGTGTAGGAGCCTGTTCATATCTCTCTCTGCAGGAGCCAGGCTCCATGCAGCAGAGATGTCTTGCAGCAGCACCAATGTGTCTGTCAGGAGCTCCACAAAGTTCTCTCGGTATTGTCACAACAGTTTGGCCCTATAATCCTCTGGGCTCCATTTGCCTGAATTCAATGAATGGAAAAACAAACAGCTCAGCTTGCAGCATCTTCCCAAAGGGCTTCAAAGGTTGGGGAGACAAGAAAGGCCCAGGCACCCAGTCCTCCCCAGGTCACTAATGCTCAGGGCCTTATGCTCAGCACATTCAGATTCACACTACAGCAGAGGATGAACACGACAAATCAGAACTTCTCCAATGCAGAGACAATACAGACTATCTTCTGCCCCCATGTGCAAACAGAAATTTGGGTGCAAAGAAATGCATCTTTGGCACCCAAATGTCTCCTGAGTATCAGTCCCAGTCTGAGCCCAGAGGAAGAAAATCTCAGTGCTCAGCAGATGAACATGGGGCCTTGTCTGTGAAGGCAACACTGTCAACACCTCAAGATGTTTTCAAGCCTCTTCTGATACCCTGGAATCACAAAGACCCCATTACTGACTCTTAACTAGAGCTTCATTGTAAGTGGTCTGTAAGTCAGTGTTTGATCCACTCCACCAAGAAGGAGCTTGGAAATGCCCTGGTTCATGTCCCTCTCATGCCCTTGTTTGACTATCAAACACACCAACATTTCACACTCAGGTAGTCCAAGGTAATCAAGAACTCAGTGGACTGAGTTACCCTTGGTGAAAATGTTAAAGGCACACAAACCAGACTTGCAATTGCAGAGCAGCTGTAGCACCTTCTTCTCCTTCTTACATCAAAAAAAAATGTAACTGTAACCTCATTCCTTTCTCCTGTCTAATTCTAAGCTGGATCTGCTGAGTTTGCCTTGATGAATCAGAAAAATGATGACTCCAGAGTAAAACCCCAACCCTTTAAAGACACCCCAGCATCAGGACATGATAGACTAAGTCAGGAAGAGGAACAGTGTTTATTCAGGATAATGAAGAGACTTGGGCAAAATCTACTGTGTCCCAAAAGTAATCTAGGATTGTACTTGTCACTTGATAAATAAAACAGAAAATTGGCAAATATATTAATCTGAAAAGGATTTTTCCTCCCCCATTGCAGTTACTGTGTTGAAGAAGAGGCACAGTTATACTTCAGTGGGAGAAATCAAACCCAAAACCTGTAGTTCATCCCAGACATCCATGCATGATTTTTGTGCTTGTGTCTTTTAACCATTCTGGTTCAGTATCAACAAGAACAATCCATCATTCCCACAGCACTACCTGGGAGAAAAGCAGGAAGCACAGCTTGGGAAAAAAAGGTAAAGTCTCTGGGACCCAGAAAATACAGTACTGTGTAAGAAGAGAAAACTCTCTGGGATAGGAAGGAAGCAACAGCAACAGCTGGGGAGATATGCAGTGGAAGATTCTGAGCTACTATGAACAGCTCCCTGAAAAAAGACTTCTTGGAGACATCAATCTGATCCCCAAGAAAGCAAAGGGAAATTCACAGATGCCATCTTTTCCTTCTGCTCCCATCAGAATGTTTCTGATTTTATGACATAAAATTGAGTTGTTATGAATGCACTCACTGCTCTGCCACCATGCCAGGGTGATCTTGAGAACCAGCACATGCCATGTGCCACAGTGCAGGACCTCCTGCTCCCTATTAGCTGTACAGCATGGGACTCCAAAGGTACCACCAGTTAATTCATCAGTTGCCAGCAGACTCAAATCATCCCCTCCCTCTTCATTTTCATCATAAGAAATATCTGTGCTTCTGTTTGTTCAAGCTGCAATTTGAGGAAATTCAGTTCTGTGTAATTAAGTAATGCCCCTCCTTGGAATGGGTATTACCATGAGATAATTAACCATGCTGGGAATCTGGTGTTTTGAGAAAGCAATCGTGCTTAACAAATGACAAAGCCAAGCGCCTGTTGGGAATGTTTGCTACAGAGGAAATTATCAGCACTATGAGTGCAGTTTTGCTTTCTATTAATTCTTCATTTACATTTCACTGCATGTTAATTTAGTTTTAAATTTTATATGACTTCAGAGTCTCTCAATTTGAATTGTTCAGAGTGTGCCTAAACCCACCTAAACTTGGAAGGTTGTCCCACCAGGCAAAAGATGGGGGCTCCTGAATCCCCGAACCATCACAGGTGGGCAGCAAACAATAAAATCGCACCAAAATGAGTAAGAGGAGTGGCCTGGCCACCCAACAGGATGATGTGTAATGGGGACACTAAGTGTAGGATTCCCATCAGCACACTCTGCTCCACACAGGAGACCACGAGACCACCAACATAAGCAGAAATGCTACCTGGATCAAGGAAAGAAGCACAGCCCAAATAAATTCCCACCCCACCCCCCCCCCCCCCCATCTTCCCCAATCACATGGAATTCCAAGTAAGACACTGTATTTAACATCAAGACATCTCCAGCTTAGGGGAAGTTTTAGGTATTTGTTTTCAAAGGCAGTCACTACCATAGAGTGAAGTCACCAATGGAAGTTTAGTTTACTCATACCTTTACCATCAGAGATGTCTGCTCTTGCCACCAAGTTGTCCGGCAGAAGCTGGAGTCCAGGGAAGGATGCTTTCACAGCCTCCAGAAGCTTCCACTTTCAGGGTTTTCTCTTCATCCACCTTCCTGATCAGATTGTCTATAGCTTCCCTCTGAGAGCTGCCTTCACAGCAATCCAAAGCTACCTGTAACAAAGAAACAGCCACAAAACTGTGACAACTTCCTACAACCTCCTGGATCTGAACAGAGATCAGAAAAATAGCAACAGTACCACAATACTGCACTAGATCCCTACCCACTGCTTACACAATTTAACTGAAATGGGTGATAGGGTGGAAGTTACAGGAACACCCAAACGTGGCCAGGGTGTAACAGATATGTCACCTTGAAAACAAACCTGGTGGGTTCTTCCACCAAGTCCAGCTCTTGGAAGTGGCTGATGAGCAAAAACACTACTTTAAAAAAAAAAACAAAAGTAGACCTAAAGAGAGTGTTCAAAGCAACATTTCATGTAATATTTTTGGTGAATACTTTTTAAAACTGTCAGTCTCAATTCACTTGTCTCCGCAATTTTTCTGCTTGCCATCAAAAAATTGATGGCCAGAAGAAAATACTCTTATTATTTAAATAAGCAGCTAGCTATTAACTGAATTATTGTTTCTGTGACAAGGCCATGTGAAACATCTCTTACGTGAGATGCAACCATGGTAGTTTGGAAAAGCTCTAGGATACCAGCAAAATACCTTTAAGGCTCCTACAAGGGAGAGGCACTTGGCAAATACAAGTGACCTCCTTTCCACCAGCACTGTGCCCCTGAGCAGAAACTTTGCAGGGCACCAGCCCAGTTCCCTGATGTCAATAAGCACTACAGAGTCCTATCAATTAGATTATAAAATTATTAATATCTGTCCTAAAACATTTTTGCTCCCTTTTCCCTGGTTGGTAAGATCTTCCACAGCCTCACTCCCCCACTGATTTTTCTAATTTTCAGCTGAAATTTATTCATAGCCCGTGTATGTCTGTTTGTTCATGTGCCAGTACTATTTTTTAGTTTTAAAAGCCTTTTAAACTCTCTGAGGTGTTTACCCTACCCTTCCTCTTTGATTTCATTATAAGAGCATGATCATATTCCCTCTCAGTCTTCATTCCCCTTATCTAAATTAGGCAAGTCCTCTTATAAAACAGCTTCTACACTCCCCTAGCCTTCCCACTGCATATCTGTAAAGTTCCAGTATGAATTCACCTTTTTTGAACCAGACCGGAAGAGAAATTTTGGATGAGGTCTTTACCCTTAGTTCTCATTACGGCACAAAACGCCCACCCATCACTCCATACTGCCACATCAGTCAGTTCCCAGTACTCTGTTCTCCCACCACAGAACTGGAGAACTGAATTCATGGAATATAGAACCATAGAATCATTTAGGCTGGAAAAGCCCTCTAGGATCATCAATATCAACTAGCAACACCACCATGGTCACCACTAACCCATGTCCTCAAGTACCACATTCACAAATCTTTTAAACCTCTCCAGGGATGGTGACTCCACCATCCCTGCCTTGGGCAGCCTATGCCAGTGCTTAATAACCTTCACAGTGAAGAAATTTTTCCCAATATCCAATGTAAACCTCTCCTGGCACAACCTGAGGCTATTTCATCTTATCCTGTTACTTTTTACATAGGAGAAAAAAGCAACTCACACCTGGCTTGGTCCTCCTTTCAGGGAGTTATAGAGAGTGAGAATGTCCCTCCTGAGTCTCCTTTTCTCCAGGCTGAGCTGCCCCAGCTCCCTCAGCCACTCCTTGTCCTCCTTCTCTGGACACTTCAGCTCTTCAGGGAGTTTTTTGTCATAAGGGGCTCAAAACTGAATACAGTTCATTCTTCTCTCTCTTGCAGATCCTCCTCTGTGTGGACAAAAGATTTTGATTGTGCTCATCATCAAGATTTGCTAAACATGCCTTGGTATTTTTGTGTCCATAACCTCATAATGTTAATATGAAGTAAGTAGTAATATTAATTAATATTAAGTAAGTACCAAGAATCCCACTAGTGACCTTGCTACAAGTTGTGAGTCCTGCCTTCCACACAATCTGTGGTTGTCTCCCAAAGAAATGCATCCTTTTTAGTATCCCTGTTTCTCCTAGTTTAACAACTTCCTTACATGAAATTCAAATGCTTTGCTCTAGATCTAGACCAAGGCAAGAAAAAAACCCCATTTTTATCTCATGAAATAAAGAACCCAGGTCAAGCAGAAGCAATTTAGTTAACACCTGAGAGGGACCAATCTGATTTTTATTTATGCCGCAACATATATTATGTTCTTATAGGGGCTGTACATGTGCTAGCAGCCCTGACCCCAGGAAGGCTTCGCCTGGCAGCCAATCAAGGCAGAGAAAGCTTCCACGGTAGGACTGTGAATCACACACACACACACAGACACGCACTGACACACAGAGACACACCCACACCGACACACCCACAACCACACACACCCACAGACACACAGACACATGCACACACAGACGCACACACACCCACACATACACATAAACATCCACACGCACACCCCCACCCACACACACCCATACACAGACCCACAGAAACACACGAACCCACACGCACACACACACCCACACATACAAACCAATAGACACACACGTGCACCCACACGCACACATACACACATCCACAGACACACACACCCCCACACACACCCACACACACCCACAGACACACGCACACACACACACAGAGACCCACAGACCCACACACATGCACACTCACACCCACACACACCCTCCGCCATTTTGCCAGGGAGGCAAATGCCCGGGTGCTGGCGACGAATGCCCAGGAAATGAGACGCTGGGAGGAACGTTAGCACACAAAAGCAGCTAAATGCAACACAACAGGACCTCCCCCAGACATAACTGGAGATGCTCTCCAGTTATTCAGCCCCCATTTGCTTTGGATACCTTGGAGGGACGGGGGTTTTCCTGTAGGGTCTGCTCAGCCCTTCTCCCTCCTTCTGGCCTTTTCCTCCCTGT